TATTTCCTTAGAAATAAATTCCTGAATCATAACTACTATGCTTGAACTAACACATTAATAAAACCATCATTAAATTCTTCAAAAGACACCCTCCAAGTGACAGAGTTTTCCATTATATGAAGAGGCCAAACCAGCAACATTTTGCTAGCTTAACAGCTCTTCTAGTGAAGATAACTGTCCTCTCTGGTGAGAACATTTTAAATACCACCCAATCCTGTAGTCCAGGCGCTCAGGATGTGTAATCCTGTAGAAAGCTTATCCAGCAACGTTAAAGGAACAACAACCTAAGGAAAATGAAGATGCACAAGACACAAGACTACTTCTGAATTTCATAAGCATCTTTAATATTAAAACTAACAAATAGGAATATGTTTCTTTAGAAAGCCTATGAAGTTCAAGAAAAAAGGTTAAAATAAAAGGCAGACCTGTTATTTTGGCAAGTCTGTGGAGGAAATTCTTCTTGGCTCAGTTATGAAGAAAGTTATTATTTATAAAAGCCCATCCTCCAGTTTACTTTGGAGAATTGCTGTTCCAAGTTAATGCGGCTTGGTGAGGAAAACATATATATGAATGTTTCATACAAGGAATGACAGACTGACATCCTGAACAACCCAAACAGGATGAGAGAGAAAAAACTTAATGTGTTTTATGCTAAACAGAGAATCCAAATTAATAAATTGAAACTAGCATGAAAAGATGGTCCTCATCAAGCTCTGTGCTTGACTGATACCACCCTGTAGAAACTGAGAGCTTAATCACATTCTCAGTCTAGCATCTCGACTTAAGCTTGGATTCTTTTGCAAATCTTATTTGACCATTCTTTCTTGGAGGAAGAAGACACACTCTTCATGGCAGACATTAAGAATCTCAGCTATTTCCATGATGTTAGATTACCATTAATAAGATTACTCCAGACACTCCTTTTTATTTTAATCCGTAGTGTGATCAAATTCAAAGACTCTCAGCAGCATCCCACCAGCATCTGGAAACGAATCAACTGATTCGGAAAGAATATTCTTATCCTTTCAATTAAAAAAAAAAAAATATCTGTGTCTTTTTGAGGCCCCATTGCATCATATTTAAGTACAGTCTACTGTATTTGAGACACTTTAGTACACTCTGCCTGCATCGATAAGAACATGTTTCTCACTGAAAGAAGCACCACTGTGAAGTGTAAATGAGCTGTTAGTTGTTTCAAAAGCAAAGTTTCAGTGACTGCAACGAGTTTCTTTGCAATATAACATAAATTAAGTAATCCTGTGTAACACAGGAGTAGGGGAGTATTTTTTATCTGTGAAGTATAATGCCTCAAATAATCACTGAATTAAAAGGGTGATCCAATGGTTACTTGCAAGATCCATCTTCCAAAATGCTGCCTGCATGTTGCTGAAATGCAATGCTGCTTGCAAGCAAGACCAAATGAGTATCTTGCACAGTTTCAGGAGTAAGACGCTAACATTGAACTTTTAAGATGGACTCTCCTAAAAAAAAAAAAAAAAAAAAAAAAAAAAAAAAAAAAAAAAAAAAAAAAAAAAAATATCTGTGTCTTTTTGAGGCCCCATTGCATCATATTTAAGTACAGTCTACTGTATTTGAGACACTTTAGTACACTCTGCCTGCATCGATAAGAACATGTTTCTCACTGAAAGAAGCACCACTGTGAAGTGTAAATGAGCTGTTAGTTGTTTCAAAAGCAAAGTTTCAGTGACTGCAACGAGTTTCTTTGCAATATAACATAAATTAAGTAATCCTGTGTAACACAGGAGTAGGGGAGTATTTTTTATCTGTGAAGTATACTGCCTCAAATAATCACTGAATTAAAAGGGTGATCCAATGGTTACTTGCAAGATCCACCTTCCAAAATGCTGCTTGCATGTTGCTGAAATGCAATGCTGCTTGCAAGCAAGACCAAATGAGTATCTTGCACAGTTTCAGGAGTAAGACGCTAACATTGAACTTTTAAGATGGACTCTCCTAAATCAACTTTTGCATTGCTAGAAGGTCTGCGTTAGTCCTCCAGTATAGAGGTATTTGCAAATGGTACCCAAGTTATCCCACAACGAGGGCTTTCAGACTTAACAAGCAGCATCTTAAAATAACTGAATAGATCAGAAAAGTGAATGAGCCTCAAAGAACAAAGAGTTCTAGGTAACTTTTTTCCTTTTAGCTACTTATGAAAGAACATTCAGCACCCATTTCCTCAGCAAAGGAGTACCCTTCCATCTTAGCTATGAACAATACAGATAGGGACACTTCTAAATAAATGAGGTAAAGAAAGAGCCCTAGGCTATGAAGTCTGTTTTAAAGAACGAAGCCTGACACTACTAAATCAAAGACAGCTTCAAGCTGAAATTTAAACACATCCCAAATACTCACTGCACAGTGCAGACACCTGCCATTATCTGTTTTCACACAAGAGAATCAATTTTTCTTCATGCACAGGAGCTAAGTTTGCAACACCTCCAGACTGCTTCTGAATTCTAGCAGGAAAGTGAAGAACCTGGGGTACCAATAACCAACCTAAGCAGAACCCTGTAGGCCTTGGCAACTTGGGAGATGGAGCAGTTCGCAAGAGGGTTGCTTCCACCTGCTGGAGATGGGAAATATTAATGTCAGACCAAAAGACCCTACTGCCTGTAGGGACCAAGACAGTGATGGTCTGGGGTAGCGGGGGTGCTTTCACGTCACACTGAAAGAGAAGCAATCTCACCCCAGCAACCAACTCGGATTTCACCCAAACCACACAGACACACACGAGCACATGAGAGGCTTGCTGCTGACAAGGTGTCCAAGTGCTAACTGAAACTGAACATGCACAGATCTCAAATCCTCTGAAATCATACCGAAAAAATCCCCCAAAAGACAAGAAAATTAGACCCGAAATGCACGCAGGGCTCCTCCTGTGTGCTTCCCCATAGCATGCAGAGACGCACCCATTCCACGAGCTCAGGCCCCACAGTACAGAGAAACGTCCCTTTCCAGCAGGGCAGAAAGGAGAATTTCATCTGCTCACCTCTCCAGATGGCCAACATGGGGAAACCACGAGCAGCTCAGTCTCCAAACATCCCCCTTGCTCAGCACGGTTACTTTTACTCTGCACACACTGCTCTCAGAGCAGCAGCCAGACCGGCCGGCCACTGCCAACATACGTAGCCCCTGTGCCTGTTCGGTTCTGGCATTCCTCTCATTTTAGACAGTCAGAAGTGTTGCTATTCAGTTTTTCCTTTAGCTTTACCAGCACCAGCGGAATATTGAAACTACTCCCCCAACCACCACCACCACCACTCCGCTTCCCCTTTCCCATCACCAGAAACACCTCTTTTATTGGAAACCGCATTTAAGACAAGATTCGGAACAAGTAATTTGATTGTGCCTGCTGACGCGCTGCCTCAGCACTGCACTGAGTCAACACCCGAAGCCATCTTCCTCTCATCTGCAAACAGTTGTAAAGAAAAAGCCCACTTCTTTTAATTCCTTAACAATCAGGAATTAAGTAACCTAGACATCATTCAGCTTCCAGTAACACAATCTCTTATATTTTGCACTGGTTTTAGTAATTTAAAGACATTCAATCTATAACCAGTTTGCTAAGACGATCAGAGTTGCAGTTCTGTTTCTGCAGTCACTCCAACACGTGTGGTTTGCTTCACATACCTGTCCAAACCCCGTACACCTCCTAGTCAGTACAACACATACATAGACAGTGTTTGAATTGTTTCTATGGGACACTGTGGAAGTGAAAAATATTTGCGTGTGAATAGCATACCAGGCAATCCACGCTGAATCTTCATTCAAAACAATCGTAAAATACATGCATTATAAAAACAGGATTTGTCATAAATCACTGTTATCTTAAGTTATCTCGCATTTTTCTTCTACCTGACATTTAGATTTTATCATCAGCCAATTAGAATAATTACATGCAAGCTTGCTGCAGCAGATAACTGTAAAACATAATCATCTAAAGACATTTGTAGAGAAAACCACATTTAAACTTCACTATGTAAGCAACTTAAAACACCCTTTTTCAGCCCATAAAGACTCTTCAGACTTTCAGTACTATTTATATTGCTTTTTTCATCTGAATTTGGCAACATAAGGGTATATAATCTCACACACCCTTCTCCTGGCTGACTTGGATCCTGGTATGCAACAAAACACAGGCTAAGGCACAGCACAGACTAGGTTCTTCAAGTCAGCTTGAGGGAGTTTAATACCACACTCCCTTAAAGCCCTTAGGAAAAAAAAAAAGCATCCGAACCCCTACATCAGTAGCATTCCTGGATCTATTAATTGCCAGTGCTTAATGAATCAAATAGGACAGTTATCTTGAGACAGAAAAATAATGACTGAAGATTCAAAAGAAGTCAAGAAAACATTTTTCTCCCTGGATATACACTTTAAAAGCAGCCACTCATCTCAGACTACAAGTAGTTACACATCAAAATCAATTTTAAGCCTTAGTAGTACCTCAAAAAACCACATTATTCTTAAGAGTTACCAAACACTTATCTTGCCATTACCAGCAACAAGCTCTGGAGGTTTTCTTACACATGAGAAAGTGACTCCTGAGTATCAGGAAGTACTGAAGATAGTACCGTTTAGACTACATTACACCTGTGTGTGGTGTAATTACATCATCAATCCACCGTGCAAGGAAAATTCTTCAACCTTGACATCAGTTTGCACGCCTGCTAAAATAAATTCCAACCTTTTCTCTCATTAATTCCAACAATTATAATGGTGTTTTGGGGGTGATTTAGGCCGCTCTACATTCAAGGCCGAAACAAAACTACCAACTTCTTTCACAGGAGAACCAGCCTGCATCACTGTGACACTGAGGACCAGTGCTTGGTTGTTTTGAATCGTTGGCAACACAAGTTTCTACATTTTTCAGTTTCTGGCAAGCTAACATATTTCAGAGACTGATAAGATCATACTGTAAACAGATCTAATTAACGTTTTTCATTTCAACTACAAAAATCGGAAGAATGACTTACTTGGGTCTCGACTGCTGTATGGCCATCCTGAGGCAGGTAAAAAAGATGGCATCGGAGAACTTGCCCTGCTGTCATCCTCCACTTGCTGCGTAATATGCCGCACAGTTTCTTTATTTTTTCGGTTCTTCCTGCGCCCAGTGGGTTGCCAGCCATCCCCTACTCCTTGTTCCGAGAACGCATTCTGTATTGCACTATCCTTGGCAGAATGTAGTTCACTCCCTCCATAATGCGAGGGTGAAACCTGTTCCTCTTTGATACGTAAAGACCCATAGCCCATGTCACTAGACCAAAGAGACTGGGATGAAATGTCTTCGTGGCTGTCTGTTTTTGGTTCTTGATCCTCTTTTCCGTAACTACTCCCTCCTTCGTGGCAGCTGGCAATAGCCGAATCTCCAGAAGAATTTGCTGGACTGGTTCGCCGCGCTAACCAGGGAGATATACTCCTGCCAGCCACGACTGCTGAAATCAAAGCATCCGTACTACTGCTGGAAGGGGCTCCGAGTTCATAATCGACGAGGTCATCCGAGGCATCAGACTTTATGCTTATGTCAAGAGCTGCTTTTATGAAATTGTGACAGGCTTGTACAATATCTGTCATTTGCAGATAGCTAGCAGCTGACATCACCTCAATGACGTTTCTGCTGGTCAGCGCCAGGTGTGCAGAATACATGAAGTCAATGATTGCTTTGAAGCCTTGTGCAGTTACAATGTCTAAATGGGTGACTGTGGCCTGGTCGGAGGTTTTCTGTACCTGGCAGTACAGCGTTTTGAAGTAGCGACTACTCCCAAGCAGAACGTTTTTGTGAGCCTTAAATATCTTCCCCTCCACTATAATGCAGACATCACAGAGGATGCCGTGTTGTCTCTGCTCGTTAAGCTCACGCAGCAGATGACGGTAGTGGGAAGCAATCTCCATATCTTCCTTTCGGTTATTCATTTGGAAATCTTTGTGTTTCCTCTTCCACAAGTCCTGTATGGGGAAGGAAATGACAGTATTACAAAATCCAATACAAGCTCACAGACGTGTTTTTCAAAGTCTGAGACAAACCCCAAGTTGTACCAAGTTAAGTAACAGGTTCACCCTGAAAGAATGCCACAAAACACAACAACTGCCTAGAAAGACTGCACATTCATTCCACAATGCAGCTTATTTTTACCAGACTTCAAATAATTTACGTTAAAAGGGACTAGATTTGAAGCTCAATCCTCCAGTGGCTCATAACATCACAGAGAAACATTGCTTTAAATTACTACAGACTTGTAAGAAAACCTGTCTTAAGTTACTTGGGGAAAAACAGCTGTCAGTTTTTACTGTTTGGGTTCAGTGAAGTTTGGTTTTGAAAGAGGTACTACACTTGAAACCATGCTGATGGAGACAAACTATTGAAGAGCACTCTGTAACACAATTTCCTCAAGGGAACAAGCATTATGCGTAGCACACTGAATAGCTGAAATCCTCAAACAGCAAAAGCCAATTGAAACCAGCTATTTCCCTTGCTATATTGCCATTGAGAGGCTATAAATACCGTTTTCAAGTCAGAAGAGCAACAGGCAAATCCAAGACCACAGATCACAAAATTTTAAGTCCCCACCCAAACTAAACCGACAATAGATCAGAACTATGAAATTAATGTTATTTGAAGCTTAACTACTTACAAGCACAAGATTTTTAACTTTGCAATAAAGCATGTTATTTCCTTGGCTTTACATCTCCAAGTTTACCCCACAACCACCCCAAGATACTGGGTAGAGAAATTCTAATAATCACCTAAACATTCATGTTTAGAAAAGATGCTTATGACCAAAATAACAAAGCATCCCTCAAGCCGAGAAGAATTCACAGGACTTTTGATCACCTTTCACAAAATTTGACAGTATTATCCAAAAAAGGCTAGTTAGTGCCAGCAGCATGGCAGAGACCCGTATCTTGTAAGTTATGCTCCAAATTATCCTCCTCTTACACCCCAAACAAAAAAAAAAAAAAGGTCTTAAGTGTGGAGATGTTGACAGTAATCAGTGGCGCTAATATTTTCAGCTTGAATTTTATCCCACCTGCAAAGTACAAATATGAGAGAAGTAATATATCAACATGGACGAGCGCATACATACATTTCTCGCAGCATTCAGTAAGTCTCTCCTACCACGCAGCTTAATCTGTTGTCCTTTCAGCATCATCAGAAACTCCCTGCCCTTCGTCTCCCGAGGTAACACTTCACTGGTATCAGGCGTATCAACACATTCTGTCTCTCAAGTGAGACGACTTCAAGTTCACAACACTCAAGGTGTTAAGGATGGATGCTGGCAGCACCAGAACAGACCGATGGAGTACCCTCTGCGACGCCATACCTCGGCAGTTACTACCTTTGCAATTTCATACTCGCCTTTGCTGCCACAGCTTTACAAATTCCTTGGTGTTAATTTGTGCCATTTTATCTAGCTTAAGCCACTTATTTGGAACTTACTATCAAGATTTATATACCGTGTTAACAGTGGTTTAATGGTCCAACTATTTAAGAGCGCCGAGCTGCCACACAACGTGAAGGGTATCTACTCCTTTCTCTCAAAAACTTAAATTTGTTCCAATATAAGAAGTTCCAACTGTAAAACTGATATGTGGGTCCACACGTTAACGTACAACTGTAAAATTGGTATCTGCTGACAAGACGAAATTCCGAATATAATTATGGGCAGGCGCACACATCAGAAGCCTGGATTTAGGCTACTGGTGGTTGCTGATAAAACCACAATCACTGTACTCCTGAGATCTTACGGTCTTGAAGCGTACATGTTTAAATATAAGCACTGTCAGTAAGGAGGCTGATGCGAGCTTGAAGCGACTTTCTAACATACATCAAGTTCAAACACAAATTCAGTCCCATCTGTTCGAATCGGCTCACAGCAGTGGGCAGTCCTAGGACAGCCATGATTAAGAAAGTTTCCTGACACATGCAAGTGGGTTTCCTGTACTGTGGAATACAGATCCGTAAGACCTCTGCCCCCTTCCCCCTAGTCTGTGCTATTATTATCATCTACAGGAGCAAAACAGCTACAGTTTAGCCAACACCATTGGCTAGAAAACAACCTCTCAGCCCACGGAACATACGTGACACAGGACCTTTCTTCTAGAGAGCCACCTGATGATTCAAAGGTTCAAGTTATGCAAGATTGCCTGCACGAGCTTCTCCAGTTCCGCAAGAATGGAGCTGTCTCTTTGGCGGTGTCAGAAATGCTAATGTGCAAGACCAGCTGGTCCCCGAGGATGGAGAAGCATTTGCTTCCCTCAAGAGAGGAAGGACCATCTTCCTGCAACACAAACAGGCTGAACTGGTGTGCGTCTACTTCAAATCCATACAGCTTTTCTACAGAATTAAGCACAGAACGCACAAGGAAACTAATCTTTTTTTTATTTGAACTGCAAGAGGTCAATAATAGTGTAGCTCTACACTATCTGAACGACACTACCTATTCACCATTGAAATCTGCCTGGAGACCTCAGATCAAATTCTCACACAGAAGCCATCACCACCTCAAATAAATTAATAAAAATCAAACCAAGAATCCGAGTCAAGGAGTGTGTGTGTGGGGGGGGAACACCAAACTGATTTTTCAGGTGTTTGACCTGAAGAGGTTGTGCTAGAACCAGCCAGCACAGCAGCTCTCTAACCCAGGCTCTGAAGGTGGTTGCCACCGCTTCCCAACGTCTCCATGTTTGAGAGAACCACCTCTTAAGGCAGAATGACAGTTCAGTTTTGTCTTTATTCCAGAAACCACTACTGCATCTACTTTTAGGAGCTGAAGAGTCAGCTTAGTCCCCTCAGGAAATATGAATTGCCACATAGGATAAAGTGAGTTGTCCATCACCAATCCTGTCTTCAACAGCTGCCACATCCACATGATTCAGAGGAAGACGCAAGAAAACCTGACAGCATACAATTACAAAACGATCAGAAGGTTTGAGATATGGCATTTCCTTTTGCTGTTCCTTCAGAGGTATCAAAATCCATATTCCAAGGCAGCATCTCCCTGGAATTGGTTGGGAAATAAAAAAAAAAGAAAAAAAAGTCTCCTGCAAGGATAATTTTCTCTTCCTCAATTTAATACAGATTAGCATCAGGAGTATTTGTCAATGTCTTCACTTGCTTTTGTGAATTTATGCGACAACAGCTTTTCTTCTTCAATGTTTTTCACCTGGAAATTACACTGATTCCTTGAGATTTTATTTCTTTACTATTTCATATGTTTATTCAGCTTAGGTCAGTGGGTTGGGTTCCCGCTCACTGTTGATAACAGTCTACTTTAGATACACCTTGTCCTTTGTTTAAGCTGCCTATGCCAGAAACCCAGATTAAGATATTTGTCTCTTGCTACCTTTGATTTAGACTGGACCAGTTTGAGGTTCAGACATTGACTAACCTGGTGCTTCGTATGGATGAAGCACTTGCTAGCCTCTTTAGGAAATAGCTTTTCTCTGACTTTATTTCCTATCAAGGGATTTTTACTAAACAGACACCAAAAAAAAAAAAACCCAAAAAAACCCCAAACAACAAACCTATGCAAAATTCCTTACTGGCCTCCCTCCCACCCACCAAGCTCTTGACAGAAGACACCCTCCAGGCAAGCCACGGATGAACAAAAGCGTGTCATTACAGTAAAATCATACAGTCCTTGCATCTTGCCCGCATTTCCAAGGACACTGGGGACAAAAGCAGAGGATGGGTAAGTACATTTTGGACAAGAAAGCAAAACCACCTGACATTCTAAAATACGATGAATATAAGAAAACAAGTAAAAATAATGAGAATATACGTTCCTCTATGCAAAGGGAAGACACCTTGCCCTTGTTCCAAAGTACTTTAAGTATAAAGAGATAGAGAGACGAATGGGGAAGACGCCCATCACGAAGAGCAGCGTCCTTTCCACCGACAGGTGGGCACATTATAGCACTTTCCAGTATGCAAGCCACGATGTGGATACTCCCGTGTTCAGTCTAATCAATAAAATTTAACATCTTCCAAACCAGCAATTATTATTGTAGATGTCTTGATTTTCCTCTGTCTAAAGGTCTGCTACCTTATACACATCGTTCCACATTCAACATTTGTCACAGCATTGTACCTTTTAAATCAGAGGTCTTTGGGGGAGAAAATTAAATATGCCTCAAATTCAGAGGAATTAATTAGTTTTCTGTCTACCCATGTCAAACCAGAACATCCGTTTAATGTCAAGGATCACTAGGGAATTAATCCAAGTTAAATTTAAGGCAATTTGCTAGTAGTTAAAAATTCAGGAAGCTTCAAAACCCTGTGCTCTTGTGTTCCAATTTTACATGCTGTTTTGTGGCTTGTTGTTGGTTTGGGTTTTTTTTCCCTTTTCCTGGTAATGATATTTTTCTCCACTTAAAAGATGCTGTGGAAAGATTTCTTCAGAAAAGCAGTACCCTTCAAACTTCTTGTGGAAGCATGGTAAAGATGGAATGAACTGCGGAGAGTAGAAACGGACCTCGAAGATCAATGACATATTATTTGTTTTATCTCAAGTCTTTTTAGTACACTGAAGGATTTCAAAGTTGAGCACCTACTAAAATCCTTTAGGCCTGGGCCTGCGATGACAGCACACGGCCACAACACAGCTTTCCAAGAAGCCAATGAACCATGAAAGCTCATCTGTAGATTTTCCACAAAATAAATTTTAGCAGATCAGGCCTCCTTCGTAAGTCAATTCGCAGACAGTACAGTAATTCAAGTCTATTACTTTTCCAAAAATAACTAAAAAAACCTGTCCCTAAACAAACACCACTTGCATGTAACAGCAAAAAGAACAAAACATGAGCAGATTTAATAATCACTTTCATGCAAACTTCTGTCAAGGTACAGGCCAGCTTTTTATTTTTCATGTTGTCAAAAACCTCGTCTTAAAGTAAGCATTAATAATTTATATAATCTTTAACCCTAGCTAGAATGAACCTAGTTCTTCAAATATCGCATCTATGAAACCTGTTTATTTTACACTATCAGTACAGTTATTTGAACATGAAAATATCACCTGATGACATAGTAAGAGTCTAAATAAATACAGTCTTCACCTACTGTTGGACAGGTTTTAAGAAGAGTAACCAGTAATACTTACAAAGCCAACCTCTCAGTATACGTACCCATAGTAAGTCTCCTGACCAAAACCTTAACACCAGTAAAATTAAGGGGTACAAATTCGTTGCATTTAAAACTCAGTGCATTATTTGAATTTTGACAAAAAGCCACAGACAAGAAATGCAGTGCACAGATGAAAGCCTCTACAGTACAGTTCCAGGGGAAATAGTGGGGATAAAAATAAACTCCCTCCACTCAGAAGGAAAATGGGGGGGGGAAGGACTAGAGGGGTTTTTTGGGGGTTTTGTTTGTTTGTTTACTTTTTGCTCTCTCAGAATATATATAAGCAAATGAAAAATTTAAACTACATGACATTTAGTCTACTACAATTTTCTAAACGTGTTTCTACACTTAATACTAAGGACACAAGTTATAGAATACCAAAATATTCACTAGTGCACTCCTCCACCAGCCACTTGATGCTCCCTAGAGAAAACAGGCCAACTGGAATTTAACCAAAAATGCGTTGCTTCCTCCCCCCTCTCCCTTCAGAGAAAAGTAAAAACAGATTAAGGAAGAACTCAAATTCACTCCAATGGTTTATTATACAAAAAACCAACAAACACACCCCAATTCTCTGCTTCCCCTGTGTCCTGTCCATGTCTCCACTCCCAAGACATTCCAACATTTTTCAAATTCCTCTGCAACGGAGCTCCGTAAGGTGAGATTGGGTTCGAAACGCCTCCTTGCACAACAAGACACAGTGTGTATACGAGTTTCACTTTTATCCAATTAAAGACAACAGAAATGCATAGGATTCCTCCTATGCATGTGCCCTGTGCTGAGAAGAACGGAGAACAAAAAGCCTGACGTAACCTTGGCAACTGAAAAGGACAGTACCTGTACTTATTCTCCTAAATAAGAGAGCAAGCAGAAGACTCGGGATATTAATGGATGGTAACTCCCTGCAAAGACACTGCTCACGAGCTTTACAAGTACAAATCTCCGGAAGTAAAGTGTTTTCTCATAAGTGTGCTTGAAGAAGAGCAGCACACAATTCTAGAAGAGTTTTAATTTCTTGATACTAGATACCCCAAAACTATATTCGTATGTTCAGCTTTGTTCAAAGTAGATGCAAGTAACAGCTTATGAAAATGAATGGTTGCCAAAAAAGAAACTCTTCTACCCTGTTCTGGTTCACGAAACTGATCGTTCGTTGTTTAAGTTGGTCATTCCAACCACAACTCTGAATTCAAAGAGAAACAGGCAGATGTTTGTAAACAGACCAAACCAGACCCTTGGGCCAAAGAGGTTACTCACAACTCACGGTTTCATGAAAACAACAGCGTACCACTTTTCCCTTATGACTGAGGATGAGAATGTTTAATTACAGCCCAACAGTGCATGTTCAACCTTATGGGTTAGGAGTCACAGGAAGAAAATAAAAGTTTCGTCATTCAGTTTGAGAAATACTATAGAATTACAGAAAAGGCAAGAATTTGGGAGGCAAACGATTTTCAGTGAACTTAAAAAACCCCAAACTAGTCATACTTTTATTATCAGATTTGAGAAGCCCACTCAATTCTCAATGACTGTAGGGAAAAAAAACAAAACAAAACACCACAAGCCCCTGCCAGTATTTAATTAAAATCTGACTGATGAGGATTCACTAAAATTTCTCCAGTTTCAAGCCAACACTGCCCCATCATCGACAGCATTAAAACAACATCTCCGTTTAGCATCTCTGTAGTAGCTACTCTCAGACTTTCTGGATAGTAAAGTTCAAACTGCAGCAGGGCAAGCATTACACCTTCAGTAGCTATAACACACCGGCAAAGAAATCCCTTGCTCGAACCACTGGTTCTCAGAGCAGGCAAAGGGACCTCAACTCCCCGTCTGTCCAGGTTAGATTTAGTCAGGAAATACAATACATTTAAGGCATCATCAGTTTAAAATTGCTTCTACCATGAAAATACATAGATCTGAATGCAATTAGGAATTAAAAGGCCAGTTTCAGCAAAAAGCATAAGGACATGCAAAACACTACACACTTCTAGTCATTCATATCATCAAAGCTTTGTTTCTGCAATCCAAACACAAACCACAAACAAAATCTAACGCCAGTAAGCAGAACATAAAATAACAGGGAGCTTTCATTCAACATTTCACTCTCTACTCCGGAACTTCAAACTAGAGACTTGGCTTTGGCCTTTGACCTGTCAAACCATCTACCTGATGTTACGGGGCCAGCTACAGCGTGCAGAAGCTGCACACTACAAAAGTGCAGCCAAAAGACAGAATTTCTGAAGGTATCTTAGAAAAATCCATTTATTAACCTTCATTAGCTCTGACCGCATGAAGAATTTCAAGAGAAAACCAGGACTGAAAATGAAAGCTGAGGGAAAACTGTTAGCCTCCACATTTTGGAAGGAGGGCAATTAGAAATTAGAGTTAGAAATTTAGAAACTGTAAAGTTTAAAATAGGAGGGGGAGGAGCGGGGAAGACCAAAGATGCACGTTTTGCTATAGTGTTCTTAAAGTAATAAGCAGTGAAAAGATTTTTAGTGATTTTGTTAGAGAAGGCATGCAAACTCTAATATTAAACAACAAAATAAAATGCAAGACAATTACTTCTTACCAGTAACAAACTGGGTTCCAGGTCTAGTGTTTCTCCTACAACAGCTGAGGACATCAACAGCCCTAGGGCAGCACAGGTAGTGCACTTTTCTGCGACCTTCCAATAGCACTGGTATGAACTCTTGTAGGAGAAAGACAGAACTATGATAAAAAACAAAACCAGAAGAAGTTATTAGCATTAAACTACAAGATTACTGAACAACGGTGATACATTTTTAAGTGCTTTCCCTCTAAACTCAGTTATAACACCCCTTTTTATGACAATGAACCCCAAAAAATGTTAACTCAAAGCGTACCAATACATTGCAGGTAATTAAATCCCGGTTACCTTTTTGCAATAATATAAGCAAGAGTTACTTCTTAAAGTATGGGAAAAAAAAAGTCTAATTTTAGATACAAAAACTTCAAACAGATCCTTGAAACAACAGTGTTTCCTGTTTGGTAGCTTTTCAAAACATTCTCACTTTAATGACTTTTTAAAGAGACGTTTGTGGCCTGAAGGGCACTAGTTCACCTTGTCTGACCTATAAAACACTGAGGTTAAAAAGCTACCAATACAACTCCTGGAAAAAAAAAAAAAAAATCAAGTTTCCAATGGAATATTCAAGCGAATTTCCTCTTGAAACGTCTAACGGCCAGTTTCTACGGGCTGACACCATTCTAGGTTAAGAGACTAAACAATCCCAAGATTTTGAAAATTCTGTGTAAAAGGTAGATACTTAGGTACAGTAAGGCTCCTTCACAGATAGGCTTCTCAGATAAAATACTAACGTTTATGATTACAAGGTATAAAGAATAGGAATAGTTCATCTACACCAAGGGGGGTTTTCGTCTGAGGATGCATCCACTGTAACTATCATCTCGTACACCTGTTTTTCTTATACAAAACAGACTTTATTTTCTTCAGAATAGCATATTCACTACACTTGCAACATTTAACTTCAACTAAAACTTCTGACTACACTTTATTCAAAACTTTATACTGTTTATATACTGTTAGTCATTCCAGCAAAGTATTTGCCATATATTTCTGATCTCTGTATTTCAGACATCTTCAGCATACAGATTAGCTCTCTTAGCAAAAATAAGCTATAAATACTGTTGATTTCAAGACTGACCTTCTGTAGTAACAGATTGTGAAAGAAAACATCAGAAGATAAAAATTAAGAAAGCTCTTCCAATACGAACTAATGTCATTATAAACGGTGAAATAACGTATCTAATAAAGAAATGAAGTAATAAGGAAAATCCAAGCATTCTTATGGCAACAAGCAGAACTGTGAAAATCTTGAAAACAAATATGACCCAATTGAAGCAAATACCACTGACCTTGTTCTCAATTTCTATTTCAGACTGCCAAGCCTTGCCTTTCTCTAATTCTGATTGCTTCTCCATAGCAATTGTTCTGGCTAGCTCTTTTTAGTCCTGTTATTTAGACAGTTAAAAAAAATAAGGTGGGGGAGTGAGGGAGCCAGACCATCACAGACACATGGGAAATTACTTTGTTAGCAAAGTGTAAAAGTTATATGTATTTTCACTTAGTCTTAGGACTGCTGCTGTTAAGACTCTCATTTACACCTCTGTCCCAGAGTCACAAAATGAGCCAGAATAGCCTGGTAAGAATGATAAAGCTGAGACCCATACTATTTTGCACTGCTCTGCATTTTTTCTTCTTGCTTTGAGCTCTGCACCTGTTTTCCTCTTCTAATCAAACAGAAAGAACCAAGTGACCATGATTAATGGAGGCAGCCCTACCACAAGGTAGGAGCAGCAGAATAGCCAGAGGTATTTCTTCGGCTTTTGCAGCTGGGCAAGGTTTCTAAACCAGCCTTTGTTATCAATGTTAAGTCAGATTTTATAAAGAACTGTAAGTCCTCATGACAATGTTATCTCCAGCTACTCTTTCTCTTTCCCTTACCACATCACAAAAATACCTTTAAATGCTGAGAACTTACCAATACTTGAAAATGTTTTCTGTCAGCAAAAATAAACGTCACGATGTTTCACAGCTGGATAGTGCATGGTTTAATGAATAGAGGAGAATGGTCTCTGGTAACGAGCTCCACAAGGTTCATCAGATGTCCTGTATTTGGGGAATGGACAGAATAGGAGGCAAAAATTAAAATCTAAACTTTAACTTAATACAAAAACCTTCAGTATCACATAATTACAAGCAACAGTTAAAATAACTGCACATTTACAACACTGTTTGCCATTTCAAACAAGAAATATTCTGATATCTAGGAATTATATTCTGACATCTAGGAGAAATTATTTAGCTCTTGTGTTAAGTTAGAGTTTAACATACAAATTTTAAGACTATTAACAACTTCTGACTGTGCTTCAACAGAAGTGCTCTGAAGAAGTCACTGTAAAAACCAGTACTTTGTATGAGGATTTCAAACAATTTTAACAATATTGTTTGTTCTAGTTAACATCATAAAGTTTCAGTTAATGTTTCTGCAACACACTTTAAATGGGGTTAGTATTAATCTAACCTCACAGTTACAGTGATTCCCCTCCAAACCAAAATATTTGCCTAAGGTTACAGAAAAATTAGGCGCCCACATTGTACAAAAGTAAGATATTTGAGTTCTGTTCCCACCCAACTCGACTGAATCACAGCCTTCAAAAGCCAGTGTCGCCCTCAAGTTAAAGAACAGTGTGCACAAAAGTACTAAGTAAAGCGGTTTGTTCCTCTTACAAAATTTTAAAATTTTGAAAAAAGAAAACCCACAAAGATACAGAAAAAGATGCAAATACCTAACAGAAGGTAGAAGTTTTATTTCCCATGCCTGTAAAAGCTACGCAGCCTGAAATACAATATTCCAACTGGTAACAATTTGCTAATACAACAGGATGCACCTTTCCTTACAGGGCACTAGGTGCACGCTCTAGTTCAAAATGCTTACTTGCAGTAGTATTTCTTTGTATTTCCTCTGCATTTCACTTACTCATTTCCCCGTAACTTCCAACTCGGTCCATGTGCCTGTCTCTCCATCCTCGCTCTCCATCACAGTACAGAAAACAGTTGCTCTAACATTCCCCTATTTTTGTTCTCTCTCTCATCGGGTCGCACCAAGAGAAGAACAGATCCAACACTACCCGTGCCACGGACCTTGCAGAACGCAGTAAGAACATGGAAGAGCTAGCCAGCACTTAAAAAACAAGTATCTTACAGGGTACCAGGCTTGAGAAGTCTGGCAATATAAAAAAAAAAAAAAAGTAAGAATTTAGCTACAGATATATCTGCTACTCTAGCAGTGAAGATTAAAAAACAACCTGAAAAAATCCAAATGCCTGTGGCTAGTATGACACTTACCTGTCCAAGTGCCATTAGCTCCTACAAGATCTTAAGCTTCCACTTAAAAGAAAAGACAGTCACAAAAGAACTCTAAGCAAAAGACTTTGCCCTTGTGCATCTATTAGCCAAAAAATACCATAAAAAGCACCTTAAAAAAAAAGAGGATTAAAGAACTGCAAGGGCAAATCACACTGGGAATTGCCCTGAAGAACAGTTCCCCCAAAACTTTCTCATTGGTTTTTGGCTTTTTAACTAGGGGATCTTTGCTAAAGTTCCCAAACTCAGTACGTAAAAAGGGAGGGAGCCAAAGAAGGAGGAAGAATCATGAGGTAATTTTTAAAGAGAAGTATAGCAGTGGGAGTAACCGAGGGAAAGAGCACCTAAAGGAAACGTAAGGAGTCGGGAATAATCCAAGAGTAAAAAAAAAAATCAACCAGTGCATAACTAAAGATAACATACGAGGTGCTCTGTGAACAATCTAATTTCATTTGTGTAACTCGTGGTACAAGCACTTAGTGCCTTGGGTACGTATCCCTTTTTACTTTTTAGTATAAATCTCATAATCCAGATTTGATCAACTATTATTTAAAAAAAAAAGAAAAAAAGAAGTGGATTGAAGCCAAGAAGGATACAGTGGCAATAAGAAGGAAGTCAATAAGCTAGTTTTATATTTAGCCACCACCTCATTCTCCAATACTATAGTGGCAGGACTTTTAGGAGTACTGCATCCTGACTACTTCGTTTATCAGTACTTAAATTAGTTGGTGTCAGGTTTGGGTATTTTAAGCACCTAATGGCTAATACAGACCATCGATTCTTCTCTTTCAGAGCATGATTTGAGCACTAGTCAGAAAGGTGTTTCCTCCAATGGTGTATTAGTGCAAAAGGTGCAAATTTTGTTTAACCCTCTCCTCAAAGAGAGTGAGGTAACCGACTGAAATATCAACTCTTTCTGCAGAGTTCTTCATCACAAGGTGAGAGATAGCAGGAAGCAAACTCGCTTGGATGGAATAAGCAGTTTGTTCAACACATAGGAGGAAATAATTAGGAAAGATAACTATGTATTTAAGTATTCACAGGTATAAACATATTCTTTGATATGTAAAACCCTACTCACTGTTCTAAGTAGGGTTCTTAAGCCGCTAAGTTCCTGGCACACACTCTGACATTCTTGTTACTAAGTTTATTTTAATCCATACACAAGCTAGTCGCTGCGTTTGTAGAATATTTCTGACGCCTCGTTGCCTCCCTCCATTACAGGAGACCCCAACTCAGTTTTGCTATAAAGCGAACGCTAGGCAACCTCCAACATCTGCAGAACGTTTTTCTTCCTGACTGCTTACACAAGCCAAGCGAGCAACAGGACAGAAGGGATCACCGCTGTATGGGCTGGAATAAAAGCGAGCCACATCCCCAAAAAGCAAGGCAAAAAGGTGAGTTTCAGCTCTAACTCGGCATCTACCTGTTACATTTCAGCAAAGCTACTGCTCCTCTCCGCAGCTGCACTGCTCGTTCCAATGCACACGTGCATCCTTACCTACGCACAACAAAACACCGCAAAGTGGAACACATTTCCACCTAATTCGAAATTACTGTCAAGGATCTCATCCTGCCTGAGAAGCACTCAGAAGCTATTCAAAACCAAGGTTTCAACAGCAGTCAAAACACAAACCGATGTTTCTTAAATATAGGGGTATGAAAGAAAGTTAAAGCAACCGTTCAGAAAATAACTGCACCACAGCTAACTTGGTAAGGGACAGAAAACCCCACCCACGGGCCTCTGAACTCCACCGTTATCTCGTAGGAAACGCAGTGAGGACTTCACACTAGTTTGCATTTATGAAGAATAAGTGTTTTTAGCACAACTATGATTTTTCATCAGGATATTAGAAAATGTTCTGGAAGAGCTGAGTAAACCCCGGCACCCGTTTCACAGAAGGCAAAACTGATAAAAAGCAGTTATGACACCAGCACGTTCAATCAACAGCTATAGGATGGGAACTGAATCCCAAGCAGCTACCCCTACAAACCGGACATCCTTGTGCATCCAAATACACCAAGGCAGCACGAACCAGAAAGCTATTGAACTGTTTAGGGAAGTTGAGATTCCTCCCTCTTGCAACTCAAGTGAAAGAAGTCCCGCAACAAGCGATACACGCTTTTATTTCTCATCCTGCCTAAAGGACTAAAGATCCAGAGGGAATTGAGACAACCAGCTACCGAAGGTTGTATTTAAGGGGGCTGTAACACAAACATATCGCCTAGCGAAACAAAAAGTCCTCAAGAAGGAATAAAGCGAAGATTTGAAGCAACAAATTTTAACACTGGAGTCCTGACTGCCATTGTACTTGACCAAAATATCATAAAAATGCTCATGGAGATCCTTAGGCGAGGAGTAAGATCGCAGTACTTCACGCAGACCAAATACCTCCCTCTATCTCACAGCCGTGGTAGGTGCTTGTACTCTCGCCTAATGTGACCCCTGCTATCTACAGGCAACCCCACAGCGTGCTTGCTTTCACTATTATTACATTTTAAGTTTCAAATATCACACACACAAAACACAGGTAAGCTACGCACTTAAAAACATTCAAGCCAGTCGTAAGCCAGAAGCAAAATATAAACACGGTATTAATCCTTTTGTGCAAGGCGTCAGAATTTTCTAGCGTAATGCCCGCAGCCAGGAATGGAGACGAACCGCCGGCTCCTGGGAATTATAACGGACATGTGGGATAACCATTACAACTGCAGGTAGCTCTTCAAAGACTTAAACTAAGCCCTCTCTTTGCCCTTTTGTTTGCCCATTAAACTAAGCACACAGGAGCAAGGAAAACCCCTGTGAATGCTTTTCACCAATTTAGGGGGAGTCTAGAGAGCATTACAGAGTGCTCTGGAGCAGCCAGTAAAACCAGCAAGAACACGAAGGGAAAAATGTCCTGGGAAAGGTTGAGCTGTTTATGAAATAATTCTGCTCTGAAAGCAAGCACTAACAGTTTGGATTGGGTGTTAGCCTGCTGCTGCGCTGCTGGGAGGACAGGAAACTTTGCTTAGAAACTTCAAAAACACGTATCTAAAAAAAATCCACACAAGTGGACAGCAAAGACAAAAAGAATACGCTCAACCTCACAGCAACACAACACGTTACCGGAGGAAAACCAGGCATATTAACAGCAAATAACACATCTTTCAAACACGAGGCATTTTTCCTTTCGACAGAGGGCTGCTGGGGAGAGGGGGCTGCTAAACTGGTTTTCCTCTAAGCACTTCCAGTTATTAAAAAAAAAAAAAAAAAAAAACCTTTGGCAAAAAAATCCACTGTTGTACAACTGTCCCAGAAAACAAAGACCACGGGGAGAAAGTGGCCCATTTTCTTCAGTCTCCAAGAACCCCGTGTACAGGTCATGTTTTCAAAGGCTCAATCCTACACACTCTAGAATGAAGCAGCATTGCAATTACAATTATTAAAAAAAAAAAAAAAAAACCTCTTGCGAAGAACATATCCACTGTTGTACAACTGTCCCAGAAAACAAAGACCACGGGGAGAAAGTGGCCCATTTTCTTCAGTCTCCAAGAACCCCGTGTACAGGTCATGTTTTCAAAGGCTCAATCCTACACACTCTAGAATGAAGCAGCATTTAAAGTATATGAATAAACACCTAATGTTAGAATTATTAGAATACCCCATTTTTGGGTACCATACTAAAATCGACTCAATTACACCAGAGCTAACATAGAGTCTATGAAAACAACTGCAAGAGAAGTTTAGCTGTGAGTGAGTTTCCCCCTCCTGGACAGGCTGCATCAAAAACAAAAGACTAGTTTTCTATTTCAGTTACAGTTATCCCACTAGCGTACCCAACCACATAATATTTTTCAGGAACGTATGTTTGGGAGCTCCCCTAAATACCGTTTTGTAGCTCTCCCTCCAGCCCATGGGGCAGGCTCCTCTACCCATTTCTTGTCAGTTCCCAAAAAACACCTTAAAGCTATAATTCCTCACCACATGTTGAAAATATTGTGACTAATAATACACTCCACCCATTTTTTCCATCACTAAGGATTTCAAAATATAAAACCTGACAAACAGTGAGAGAAGTCAGACGGAATTTAGAAGGGGAAAGTCAAATTTTATTTCCAATTAAAAGATGCTATAAAAACATAGAATGTTCAAGCAAGGTATTGATAAAAGTGGAAGAGCTATCCAGTCACAGCAAGCTTCTTCCTCAAAATTACGTTTTTCCTCACTCTTCTTGGATAACGTAGCTTTTCCTTTAAATCCCCAAAGAAAAAAGAATTAAAAAAAATACTCCTCCTCCTTTTTGAGAAAATACATTTAATGCATTAGAAGCAGAGCTGCTCCACGTACACAGAGAATCCACACTTGTAATAAACACTTGATCGAGTTCAAGAACTGAGACCTAGATCTACATTACAGTGACTAAATCCTAAAAATGATAGCAGTGATGCAATTAAAATGCATGCAAGAACTTCGGTACAGGTGTCTACAATACCACTGTTTGCAAAACACATCTCCTAATTAGCATGGCTTTAAATAATGCTGATAATAATCCGGCCCTGTAAAGCTTGCCAAATGAATCATTGAGATTGCAAAATAAAAGGCATGAGGAATTCATTAAAGAGCTGTTAAACTCTCCTTTGTTTATCTTTCCCCTGTCAGGTGTAAAAATAAATAAATATCGGTTTGTATCTCTGGATTTCTTCCGAACGCTCAGCTTCACAATACCGCGCCGGCGAAGAACCTCCTCAGGAGGTACCAACGGCTTTTTTCCTCCGTTTCAAAAGAGAAATCCTCCCACTATTACAGTCCTGAAAATCTGCTCCATTCTCTATTTGTCATCTGGGATTGAGTTATCAGACACTACTTGTATTACTTTGGGAACTGACATGTCTATTTAGAGAGACACAAAGGCAATCCAGCAGCACAACCCCTTCTTTTACCAGCACCTTTCACAGCACCTCTCCTTCTCCCCTCGGCCAAATTTTACAAACACTTTCTTCTGGGGAGGGGGGAGGACACCTCACTAGTTTCCCAGCATGACAGAAAACATCCCCAGCCACTTTTGCACTTGTTACAGCCTTGTGAAAAACCACCTATATCCCCCCAAAGGAACAGCATTATTTTTTCAAGGGGTCTTTTTGTTTGTTGGTGGGTTTTGTTTTTTTTTTTAAAAAAAAAAAAAGAGGGTCACTTCCCCCATTTCAGCCTGCAATTAAAATGGAGGCAAGGCCAGGCGATCTATGTCTGGCTTTAGGGGGAGACAATAACCCAAAACAGGCCTGGCTTTTAAAAAAAAAAAAAAAAAAAAAGAAAGAGGAGAGGGAGAAAGAGAGAGAGAGAGACAGGCAGAAAGAGAGAAATACAACATGCTTCACCAGTATTATTACCTCATCCCTTTTTCCAAGCAGTTTTGAACCACACTCCTGACAAACTCTTGGTCCAACTTGCACGGATGCTGGTTTTTAGGGGGCGGAAAGGGTTTTAATGCTGGAGCCGGGATTGAGGCTGGCTATTCGCAAGTGGAGCTGCTGTTAAAATGCCCCCTTGTCTCTTCTCCTCTCCCTTGAGCTGGGTGTTGACGCAGCAGAAATTACCAGCTGGAAAATTCCCCTTTTGGAGGTT